CTTCAAGACGTCAACTTATTCTAAATACCTAAAGATATGGCAAAGCCAGTTAACACGGCATGCCCAAATTAGAATAATTACTCGATCGATAGGTAAGTTTAGGCGCAATGTGAATTTCAACGTAGACAATTGCAGACAAAAAACAGATTTGGATTACTAACGCAGTAGAACCGTTTACCATACTCAGACTTCACAATTGACTCACAATTACCAGCAAATGGCCCCGAGGAATTATCGATGTTGAACTGAAATGCTAATGTTCTTGAGCCGCAACGTATCGAGTCAAGAGCTGAAACACTTAATCCTAAGGCACAGCACAGTTGATGATCATCGCCCTAGGCATAAAAATGTATTTATGGAACCAGAACTAATGTTTGAAAGTGCTTGCAGTTGACACAAATACCGAGAACCATTACATACAGACCTCCGTGTCTGTGAAAACTGAATGGACTGTTCAAAATTACGCCTGATCACTTATGTTTTTTCATGAAATTTTGTTTTTGTACTAGTGTAATGACTGATCTTGTTTTCTTCCGATAAATTACTGTTTTACTGTCGATCAAACTGCGCGTTTCTTCGATATTGAAAATGACATTCTTCATTTAGTAAAAGTATAAAATATATTCATCCCTCACCCAGTATGTATAGATCCTGTTTGGAGAAGGGGTCCATTGAACATGCTTCTTGGATTTCTTGGAGTATATTTTAGAGTTGTGAAAAATGACGTTTTTAATTCGCTATAAACCTCAAATAAAACGACTCTATTTACACCGAGTTCATTTCAGGTGCCCAACGTGAAAAAGAATAAGTTGACCGAAAAGCTGTAGTTCGCACGAGTAGCTCTGTTCTCAGTCGATCTAGTGGTATGGCGCATTTTCTCACAAGATAAATCTTGACCACTTGGGCAAAGATTTCCGTGGACCTAATCCTAATAATGGTCATGTGTTTTTTTCGCGAACCGCACACACGTAATGAAAATTTGAACAGGCAAGTTGGAAGACAACCTCTGTGAGAGGAATTTCTTTTGTGCACTCTGATCGGTCAATCATTCCCAATGATATACGTACATGATAGATGAGTATGCAAAACTGACTCCCATCGCAGTGTTTGTCTTCTGACGCGCCTGTTCCAATTCACTACGGAATCTAAATAGTTCAGTTAATCGAACAGTCGCATGTTTGCGAAACGTTGGGGATTCAGTTTGATTAGACTTGTTCTGTCGTGCATTGGGCAAATGGAACCGGCACATCCGCTCCCGTTTCATTTTGACACGGTTTATGGACATTCAATTGATTAGACTGTATACTATGGATTGGATATTTGGGAGAAATGCAGAGTAAATTGTAAACGAATTGTTTTATCCGGGATAGAAATTCTAACTCATGTTTTATATTGATTTGCGCAACTCTGTGTTATTTGAACACCAACTGCTTCGGATATCTTCACTCTCATGCATTGCTTCCTCCTTCAAAGTCGAGAATTTACTTTGGCAGTAAAAATAATTATTTTATTGGTACTTACAAAATAGTACATACCTGAGCTCCAACAGTTTGCTGAATGAGTCCAATCAGTTCACCGACCAAAACTGAATATTACAGTTTAACGTCTGTCAGTAACTGACTGTCGACAAAGATTCGCATCCCACATTAAACTGGGATTGGATCGTCGGATAACAAAGAGAACACCTCCAAAGCCATTTCGTTTTCTATCAGACCCCGTTTACTCATACGAAACTGTTCACTGTTCACAATCAGGTTTATGTTTCAGGTCAGTTCGATAATCTCTATGCGGCTTGACTCCCCTTTGGAAAATTTGGTAATCTTGAGAAGACCTTGACTTCAAGCATAGTGAAGCCTGATGAACAACGCATTTTAACATTCAGCTCTATGCGCTAATTCAAAACACGTAGGATCTTATTTGACGAAGCTCTCGCTTAGGACTCTATTCGATCATTTCAGCGTAGAAGATCTGCACCAGTTTGATAGTAAACGTCCCGATAAACTTGAGCCGCCTTGAATTCCCTTCCATTTTGTTTTATTTCTCGTTATAAGTAAGTAATTAACTATTACCTACCACCTTTTCTATATTGGAGCACCCATGGTTAAGCTATTGATCAATTAAGTTACCAACGGAAGGCACTTTATACACACTTTGTACCAAAGACCGTGCACCACAAGAAACGTACTACCAAGCACTATTTTATCTCCTTTTTATTTCCGCTTACAAATCTCCCTGCTGGTAATATTCTTTTCTTGTATCAGTAGATATATGGCTTTTTTATTACACGCATTTGTGTAATGGTCAGCAGACTGGATGGACCCGATAGTTACAAAGAGCTGCTATTCAGTGGTCTTGGAGAATGGTTCCAGTAGTTGGCTACCGACAACGGACTGTCACATGACCTCTGCTCATAACACTCTGTCGATCACTGAATCACCAGAATGCAAGTTAGCAACCCGAAGTACAAACTCGGGATGGTCGGCTCACCTATGTATACACCGAGCTGAGTGTGAGGAGTCCATGGGGAGTGGAATACTGCTGTAGCTGCGATAATTGTATTTTTTGACATATTTTCTTTTAAACACAATACAATTGGAGGCAATTTATTATTTCGGCTTTCCCTTCAGTTTCCCTCCACGATTCTCAAAAGTGGTGATGATCCGGCTTATGGAAGCTGAGGTAATCTAAAACTGTAGGAGAAGTGGTGCACTACTTTCGTCAACGGACATGCATGCTTGTTTCACAATTACTCGGGCTTCATGCCAGTCGGGAGCGGACTTCATTCGATAGTATGATAGTAATCCTGTCGTATACAGAGCAGATGAAGAGTGAAACAAAAAACTAGAAAGCCCCTTAGCTGGTTATTGGGGTCAGAATGAATCCATCGACTCAGCTGCTGATTGAAACCTAGCCCTCACAGGTGGAGCGCATTTCAGCCCCCTCCCCTCCCTCTCCCAGCAGCTTATGTGGTCGTTGTTCCTGTTGTTATTACACCATATAGAACAAACCAGTTTTACTAGCCTGTTGTGCGTTGGATTAGCACGTTTACCCACACAAATATTTATACATATAACATCTCAGTTACAGCTAAAACGTTGGTCAGAAGGTTGAACGTAATCTGCATAGATTGCAATACCAAATGACTTAGTCATGTTACCTTGGGAGCTGATTTGATCAAACCGAATATTCCACAAAAAGCTTCAATAGTTCAACCGGTCATTGACCACATTACATGCTCCTGATGATTTGAAAGCGTTTGAAAATGCTTTGTTAGGAGTTTTTTTCCAAGGGCGTGATTCTCAACAGAACTACAATTATTCCTGGTTAAACTTGCATTTCGATTTTTCACTGTATTAAACATGTGGTATTTATATCTTGTGCAATACAATAATTCCACTGAAATGAGATTCCATATTCCCTTCAGCTCCAAAACATTTATACTCCCTAATCTGTTAATAAAATTTACTTGACCTAATTGCAAAAGAAAACGTAATGAGAAACAAGTTATCCAGCCTAATGGCAATCGAGGGTGCAGGTTTGTGTTAATCTGACCGATGACGTCGTACACCACGTCATGTCGCCAGTTGTGCTGGTTTCCAAAACCCAATATCCACTTAATGATATCAGATGAGTATCATAGCATTAGAAAGAGATATGTGACCCATAACTTCATGTTTAGAGTTTTTCAAAATATTGGAAAATTATTGTACTGTCGTGTTGGCCACCTCGTGAGAAACTAATAACGGACTTTCGAATGGATGTTCTAATCCACATGGTTTTAGGATCCCACTTAACAGAGAAGAATAATGCACATATGAATGCTCGCCTCCTAACACTTGTCGGTAGTGCCAAGTTTGAACCGAGCAAACGAAAATAGCTAAGAACTATTCAACAACTGTGATAGAACTACTACTACTGGGCAAACTGTAAGACAGATCGCTTCTCACATCTCGTAACGCAAGTGAATATTCGTCACGATTTAAACGTTTAGTTGTCCACTTGGACGTTCCAATCACATTCCTTTTGTTGTGTCATGCACCAATTTGTGTTTTATCTTTGGTGAGGTTCGATTAGTTTACACATGTTGGACAACGCTCTGATACTCACATATAAATGAATGTATTTCATATGAAATATCCCTCATAGCGATGGAGGCACATCTTTGACGATTAGTTCATCGATGACTATCAAAACATACAGAGAGATGAGAAGGTGGATAAAGAGAGGACCAGTTGATTAGGCGCTGGATAGGGTGGCGTTGGAGGGAGGTGTGGTGGTAGGGCGAAGGGAATCGCAGGATGCCAGGACATAATCCAATAAGGTTAGCAACATGGTAGGCTGCGTACGTGCTTGCGTTTAACGATTGTGAAGTCACTGGAATTCAGTGCATGCTCACATACACACACACACGTGCCGGTAGCGGACGAATAGATGGAAAACAATAGCAGCAGAACGGCTTGTAATGGAGAAAGCTCAACGGAACCTTTGGAATAAAACAGACAGATACACAAGCACATGCACGAGGCGTAGTAGAAACTAAATCAGAGGATTGGCGGGTAATCACAATCCACGAGAAAATTCGTGTAGGGAAGACGTACACGCATTGGCCTAATCGACCAACCTGTCCACATTAATTGCTTTTCTTTGGTAGGCAGCCTGCACTAAAATAGGGCAAAGGTGGGTTGGTTGAACAGATGAATGAATGAATGAATGAGGTCGAACAGAAAAGTTCAAAGAAGCTTGAGATAGTTATAAATTGGCCAATATATAATATAATACAGGAGGGACGAGAGACGGCTTGAAGAAAAAAACAGCAAGGAGACAAATAAATGATGAATGAATAGGAAAAATGTTTCTGAAATAAGCAATTCGAAGGGCAGGCAAGCAGTTGAATACATAAAGAAATTCTTTGAAAAAGAAGATTTTTAAACATTTAAATTATTCATCATATCCTATTCGATCCATGACAACTGCATTATTTCACCGGGAACAAGCTGGTCTTAACCGACTGCCATGGTAATTGCAACAAGGAAGACGGTCGCTCCGGTTAGCAGACCACCAAAAAGCCATTCACCGACCACAGGGACTTGTCGACGACTGTCAATGTCATACTTGTGGAATGTCCCATATGAAACAGCGGCGAATATACCTGGGGAGCGATTAGGAAAACGGGATGGTCAGGACATGGCACATAAGAATGCAATTCAGTGAACGTTGAAAGTGAACAGGCACCTGAATTCACACACACACACACACACACACACACGCACAAAACATATTTATTCCCCGAATAATTTGAAATCCGTCCGACAAACCATGGATACAGTTAAAAACAGTTCTGATGCAAATTTATTTCAAAGCGTTGATGATGCTTGAGCAGGATCAGCCTTTTGTAGAAGTATTCCATTTATTGTCACTAAGGTTTATTGAAACATTTATTTTTTTTTAGAGTAGCTAGCTTGGATTAGTCGATTCGATTCTTAAGAGGCACCAGACACTCCTGATGGTCTTGGGTGTCGGTTCCACTCCTTGGGAGATGGTTAATTCCCCACTGTTTTTATGCATTCAAATGCGATGGAAATGTGTGTGATAACCAACAAAGAGCACTGGACAGCTGTTTCGTCCTGTTTGGGACTCATCAGCAGTGCGTACTCTTTGTGACACTGTCAGGACGAAACAGCTGTCCAATACTCTTTGTCGATTATCACAAATATTTCCATCGCATGTAAACAATTATTTTTTCTAGATTTTTTTAACGTAGAACCCGACTCAATTTCATTTACTCAAAAACGTATAAAATTCAAAGAGATATCTGTTTATGTTTGATACTCATTGTTCATGGTTAATGCCACTATAGAAAATCGATTTTCGAATAACCTGGATACTGGATCTACCATAAATGTAAAACGCAGTCAAATAACAGATATAGGTCAATAGTTCTCCGGTGAATGACGGAGTTTAACTGAGGGTCTCAGTGACGGAACACGATCAACCAACATATATCATGTCACGAACAATGATCAAGTGCGTGATAAATTCAAGAGAGATAAGGCTTATCTTAGTAAACTGAGTTGTAATCGGTCGGTTTTTCCATGTCTTCCATGTTTGTATACCTTGAGTTACACCGCGAAAAGTTATTCCAGTATATAAAACACTTAATACAAACAGCAAAGTACTTCAGTGAATCCGTGAATCATCTGTCTGGTATGAAGGAAAAGTTGGAATAAGAAATATTATCAAGTAACCTACCTTAAATGGCTTGTTTTCCTTATTTTGGTATTTTGGTATCAATAGCTGTGCATGATCGATTACCCTGAACGTTCCCCACATTGAATTTGCCGAGTTCGGAGATTTATCAATTACGTTGACTCTACCACGAGCCACGCCACAAGTAAAATCTCGAAATACACATTGGTTGCCGAACCTGTCCGATAAATGTGTACGAAATTTGCACTAAAACAACAATCCTTATTGGTATTGTGTGTAGATGGCTGCTAAGTAGTTTGTTATCAATACGTGAGGACAAATGCACCTGCCAGAGCATCCGATAAAGCACCGCGCTTTGTTTCTCAACATAAACGCATAGAACTTGTATGCTTTTCGCAAAACACCTCCCGCCCTCTGCCACACACGCACGCAGCCCAGCTCGATTGTCACAGTGAACTAAAGGACACGCACCAGTAATTGGCTTGAAGCACTTAACTTCGTTGACAATCACTTTGCTTTCAATGCCCATAATAGACCGGAGGAGAGAAAAACAGGCGATCCAATTCAAATTTAGACACCGCCGATTCTCGCCCACAGCCTCTTTTAGCCCCTGGATGGGAATTTGGCTGGAGTCACTGACTTAAACGCGATTGGTGGTAAATACACAAACCACCACTAAGATACACCATCATATATGCGGGCAAAATACACACCTGGTTTTCCGCACAGCACCTGGGAGCTCTTTTCATCAATTTGTTTATATTTTTAACACTAAGTAGACTGAGAAGTACAAAATAAATCCGGGAAAGGCATACCGGTATGCGCTTCATAAACAAGAACTTTGAAGGGCACGAGAAACAGAAGTGAGTGTTTTGATGGTGGAAGTGTGCGTGAGAGAGAGAGAGATTGAGTTTCGACCCCATGGTTGCCGGTTGAAAAGTGACGCACATAAATACACCTTAGCAGAAACCACAACTTTCATAATGTTGTTTATGTTTCTTCGTTTTCTTCTCCCACCCCACGCACACACTCGGTGGACTTTCTCCCGCACTGTACTTACCAGATGCGCAAATTCATAGAGATAAAAACAAATAAAGTAATTTCCAAAGTTTCATCAATGCCGAAAGAAGACGAATCTCGCCGGATGTTAACATTTCGTTTGATTTCTTCAATCGCTGACATTTACCTTTTTTACTGGTAAAATGCATCAAGGGGAATCAATATTGAATTTTTAAAGTAATGAAATTTTATGGGCTGAAATGATAATGATAATGATAAAATACGGTAAATATTCTTTCACATATGTTGGTTTGAATGAAGCACAACAAATCCTTATTCTTAAACTGTTTCACACATGTAGTAATTGAAATGAAACAATAAAATTACCAAAAATTCACAGGTTTTATGAGTTGGACGCGTTTCCTACACCTGTTGTTCTTTTCATTACAGAAGATGGCACTGGTGAAACACTGTGTTATGCAAATATAGAAGGAGTTCACCTGATTGCTTGGGTAGGGGAGTGAAATACACCATTTTTCTGCTTGACACCCAACAATCATGAACGGTTGACAACACTAGCCCTGCAGATTATCAGAAGCAAAATTTACCGTACTTCTATGGGGTTTTATGTTTGTATAAACTCCGTAGTATTATTCATTAAACGGCGGCAAGAGAGCACGGAAATGCCAAGGGGTTCTTTTTCTCTCACAAAGCACTTGAGTGAGTAATTTGCACATAACTGAATCACTTAAATATACTGGTGCTTGTTGGTAGTTTTCAGTGAACTTCATTTTTTCTTAACCCCGCTTACGAGAAAATCCATTTATTTTCTCCAGTTGGTCATACTTAACCAACAACTGCACGGCATTTGCTAGATGGGCTGTGCACTTACAACTGGAATTATTTGTTCCAATATACCAAAATGCTTCAAATCAACTCAAAATCTAACACTAATTTCATGGGGTATTCAAAGTGATGAATCAAAGTGATAAATAATTGGATGGAATTAGATGACTGGTACCTTCCGTCTGTTCAATTTGGGCGTTATATTGCGGTGTTTATACGTCATTAATTTGTAAGTTACCATGAAATGCGGTAGTTCTCGACTTCGCGTGGCACTCAGATGATGATAGATTCTGAAACTCTCATTTGATAATCATTGAATGAACCCGCCATGGTAACTCTCGGTAGCTTTTCAAAATGAGCAGTAATGCAGTATATATATATATATATCATGTTCATATTAATATGTATTATTAACTACTATCCATATGTATCGGTTACTAGACTTAGTATCTGTATAGCATAAACCAACCACCTTCTCATCCACCTTCCGCTTTTGCACGCGATTGTGAGCGACACAAATGGAAGTGTTACACACCTGGATTTTCAATCGCTCAGCATATAGTAGAATGGTCTGTCAGTTAAAAAAATTTCAATCAAGTGAATATTAGTCGACAGTTTTGGGGCATTAATTTCAATGGGTCCCCAATGAGGTGAGTGCTGGGTGACAAGGCGAACAATGAACGACATGAGTGATCAAGGTTCTGCATTACTTGATACACCAAACTCGATTCCCCGCGACTTCGGTGATACTGTGTGAAGTACTAATCCAGTGATTCGTCTTTCCACATAAGTCTTGGAATGCAGTCTCGTGCCCGCTTTGTTGACCATTCTTTGTGGACGTTCCAGCAAACCAACATGTCATGTAGCGGGGGACGGTGCCTCAGAGCAGCTTAAAAACAACTAAGGTCGTCTTGAACAACGGAACAGACATCTTTTTCATTCAAAATTATGGAAGTTGTTGATATCCCATGAAGTAAGGAAACCAATTTTTGTGGCTAAGGGGCACGATCTTACATTTTGATGCATTCAATTTGATGTCATTTTTGACCAACCATTGATAGGCGGCACTAAGCGCTCTCTGAAGTACCATTGAGCCCTCACGTTTTGTCGCTGTTTTCCATATTTTTGCATCATCTGTAATAACGTGTGGCCCCAGAATGACTTTTCCACTCGACCACTATACAGTACTGGTCGATTGTGATGCACTGAATCAGGAAAATCAATGCTATAAAGACTCACCAAGGCTTGTTTGTTATTATTTGGAAAAAACTTAGTCTAGTACAAATACTGTTGCCTATACGAACACACAAGTGTTTCATAGGGACCTGTTTCAGTTTCGATTAGACCTGTGTTATTACACCAACGGCGGTTACGCGGTTTGCATGGGAGTTGCTGGAGTGCACTGGTTTTAAGACGAGTTTAGAACACCTCCCGTCTTGATGATGACTTTTTACTTCCTTTTTCATATAATGAATAAACAAATGTACAGTCAACTTTCAGGAAGGTGGCTGCGGCCATACAAAGGCTGCCTGGGGAAATAAAGAAATAGAGAAGACGGGCGGAGGTGGAGCGGTTTGAACCCAGGACACCCAGGTCAGAAGTTAGTTACCTAACCACTTGGCCACCACCGATCCGTTTCCACCACCCCTCTCCCNTTGTGAAAAATTTCAATTTTATTTGGCTCACTTTTATACCTCTAGCGTCAAAGCCATTTGAGGTTTCAATCTGCAATGCGCAACACCCTATAGTTCGCTGTTCGCAAAGACAGTCTGAACAAAGCAGTCCAAGACATTTCCATTCTGTCCATAAAAGAATGTGAAGCTTTAGATTTTCATATGAAGCATTGGGAATTATGCCTGCACCTTACACCACATTTAAGTGCACCGTGCTTCCTGTACAAACTACTTTGACTTAAAGAGAGACTACTACAATGGTTATTGAAAAAATGCTATCGTGTGGAACAATCAGGTATTTCAATTGTTTTTTGTACTAGTTCACATT